CACGTTCTTTAATTTTTTAAAAATGTTTAAAATTTTTATTAATTTAAATTTTTCTTAGTCTACATCATGAATCTCATAAATTCTAAGAGAGATATTGTTCAAAATTTAGCTTACGGTTTATCACTTAAAGCATCTCAAGAATCAAATGTAAGATCTTAATCTGTTTTATATTTTGGCTATTAATTCTGTCAAAAATGTATACATTTTAATCTTCAGTCTTCTTAACGAATATAAAGCAAAGAGATAAAATAATATAAACTCCCTTTCTAAATGGCAATATCCAAAAATAATTCGACTATTTTGATCTTACTATTTTACTCGTACCATACTAAAAGTATTGATTTTTTTTATTCAGAACTAATTAAATTAATTAAAGCATCTTTAGCACTATGTCTATTGTCATAAATATAAGAAAATTTCTTCAGATCTTTAATATTTTATCTGCAGGGTGCATTCTTATGTTAATTAATTTTTGAAGATTAAAAATTAATTAATTCTTAGATCCTATTTCAAGATTTATAGAGTTATTAACGATTAATGTATCTTTTCTGCTGACACTCTTTCGTATTTTTCTTTCACAGTTTTTAATCGATTTTCTATACTCACAACAATATTAAGATTAAATGTAATTTTCTAGAAACCTCTGGCTGAATTGAAACTACAGACAAAATTTTAACAACATACTTTTTACTTATTAATACTAATTAACTTGCTTATTGGGCTGAAATTTGAAAAAAAAACTGTAGACCTATAAATTCCCACTGTTTGTCCTACCTTAATCTCAAGAACGGAGTTAGCTAGATGTAAGTCAAACCAGATATCGAAACCTTAGGGACAGGAGGCTCTAATTAACTATATATGAATTTCCAATGCAAACCGAAAGTCATGCTACTTCAATTCAAATATCCCCCCTGAAAGGTGTTAGATGACTGGCACGACTCTATTGTTAAAGGAAAGTATGGTATACAGGAACAAACCACTATTAATTTTAGATGGAAAGCATATATTTTAAATTAAATATATTGACGCATTGTGACGATATCACAATAAATAATCTTATTATTAATTTTTTAAAGTAAAAATTTCTCGTAGTTAAATCTATTTTGGCTTTAACTAATGAAATCTGCAAACTCCGTTATTATCTTTATATTATGGAATAATTTGAGATTTAAATATTTATTTGAAATTTTAAGTTTTTAGAAGACACAATTACTTAAATCTAAGAAGTAGTCTAATAAAAAAAAAATCTTCGTAAGAAAAGCTGTATTATTAAAGTAAAAAGTATTTTATCGAATTAGACTAACGTAGAAAATTAAATTGAGTAAATAATACACAACTATTTATTTCAAAGTAATGGAATTGATCGAAAAGACTAGAGCCCAGGTTCTCAGACGTCAGACTGACGTCTTTACCGCCTCGGCCATCCGGCCCGACAAATATGATATGATAATACAACGAAACGTCGATTTAACAGACTAATTCTGGCGAGAGGTTCCGTTAAAGCCAAAGTCCGTTATATAATAGAGTAAGTTTTCCGAATGCACGTGTTTAAGAAATTGATAAATTAGTTATCTGTTTTTACTTATGTGGATACGTTTGTATAATTAAAACTAAGTACGGTCTTTAGTAGCAAGCACAGAATTTCTATGGAGAACTTATCTTAGACTTTATATAATAAAGTCTACATTACCAATCAATTGTGTTCTTTTTATGATAAATTCTTCATAGCAGTTCTATGCTTAAATAGAGAGAACAAGAAGCAATCGAGTACTAAAATGTATGTGATAAGTTTAATTTCACAGAAGTTATATTATGTATTATTGCTTACGTACTCACCATAGTTCTGAGTATACGATCTAAATAATTAAACAAAATTTTTGAAAATTACTCTTTAATTGTATTTAACTAAACAAATTAATAGCCCAATGTTCTTAAAAAGAAAATAAAATTTAAATTTGACAAAAATACAAAAAGTTTCCTATTTTAATCGTCTTCGGATGATGATATATCGAGAAATTCTCGTTGTGGCGTAAAGAGCGGAGACTTTTGAATTTGATTTAAAATAATAATAATAAAGAAAAGAGAATGGCAGGAAAAGGATTTTTACAGCTTAAAATCCAGATGTTCTAAGCACTCGGGAGACAATCAGTATTGCGCGAGCTGTTGGGTTTAATAAGGCACAAGTTAACCGTTTTTATGATCAGCTTAACCAAATGTTTAAAAAAAAAAATACGAATTTCCTAGCTCTCAAATTTACAATTCTGATGAAACGGCAGTATCAAATGTGCACAAAAATGACAAAGTCATTTCTACAAAAGGAAAGTAACAAGACAAATTAATTTCCGGAAAAAAGAGGACGAAATATCACATTAATATTTGTCATGAATGTTATTGGCCATTTTATGGCCAATAACATTCATGTTTTCATTTTTCCACGGAAAAAAATGGAAAAAAGTGGTCGTTTGACGATTGAAGCTCCACCGGAGAGTATCGCAATTTTTTGCAGGAGAGTGGGTGGATGAATGGTGAGTGATGACATATTTTTACAGTGATTGCACCATTTCAAACAGTATATGCATTCTACAAACGAAAATTCTGTCCTTTTAATCTTAGATGGACACGCTAGTCACAGAGAGTTGACAGTAATAGAATATGCTAGTAAGGATCACATTTATACGCTGAGTACGCTGCCACACACTACGTACAAGCTGCAATCTCTAGATATGACGTTTTTCAAACCTTTTAAAATCTGTTTACTTTAGCAAGTGCAGTATGGATGAAACGAAATCCTAGTGCTATGATTAGATCTACTGATTATGACATCGCTGCGCTTATAAGTAACTCTGATATCATAGCCATTAAGCAGTTATTAAAATAATTTTATCAGAAAATACTTATTTATAATTAATGCTAATTATAAGAATACAATAGATGATGAGACAATTGTTAAAATTTGGCAAAAACATTTATCAAGTACTAAAATAATGAATATTTATCATTCCAAATACTAAATGTATATATCCATTAATCGAATACTCATTATTAAGCCTAGATAACATAGTAATATTTATTAACTTCGATATATTAATACTAATCATTCTTACAAAAATTTTGTGTAGCAGTTGTTTATACTGCTTACACGTAATTACTATTCTTTTATGATGACGATCTAATCTACTGTATAATAAAATGGAATCGTCATCATAAAAGAACTATGATTATTCCTGTATTGTTAACTTCGTTTGTTGAAGAAATTGGTTCACAGATGTATTGTATACGACACTTCATGTCAGTCTTTATTTTCTTACTAATAAGCAATCCAAAATTATTTTCATGAAATGTATACAGTACCTCATAAAAATGTCTTTACGCATAACAACGACTCACTTAAATACTTCAAACAAGTGTGCATCACTGTTTTGTTTAACTACTCATTTTTGCTCTAAAATTTTACTTAATTCGTATCAGACAATTCTATCCCTATTATTGTTCTTTATTTTCATCACATAATCACAATATTTGCGTTCTAATACGTCAGAGTTCTGACTCTGTCCACGTCGTCCTGCTATTGATCAAAAATCATCTCATTGGCCCAAAGCATGTTGAAGTTGAAAACTCGCCTCCGTACTCTCGTTTACCTGGGACAGCCAATCCAGATCCGCTACCCCTTCCCGCAATCAATGAATGGGAGAATTACCCTGATCCTATTTTTCGGTCTTCCAAATCTTCATCCTCACGAAAAATGATGCTACGTCACTGCTGCGATAAGGGATTTTCTCCAGACGCACCAGTGCCGGAGCTACAATGGCGCAAAGAGGTTCGGTCGAACCAGGGCGTGGAACCAACAGAGACCTGAAGGTATCAAGCGAACGCACCTACGACACATTATCAAAACAATTGTTTTGATCATGGATCGAGTGACTTTTTATTATCAATCAAGAGCTAAAGGCATTTTTGGGGATAAAAGTCCCATTCTTTGCGGTGGGGTTAGTTTTTCAAACTCGGCCATCCATTTTATTCTTTCCGTCCTGTGGGCATTAAGAGGGCATTTTTAGCAAGCCTATTATGGGTTTGACCAGCCCACGATGGACAGTCAGGTGACGAGGAACGGAGTCCGCTATATCCGGGCTGATTATACCGAAAAACCCCAGGAACGGGTCCTCCAGAGCAGTAGACAGCAGCCATAACTGCTTTGCAGGGGCGGAAACACTTTCTTTCATACAGTGGTTGATATTGAGTGTGCAGCTCATATAGGCTATTAACTCCGAAAGACGAGAATATGGACGCATGCGGCCGGATGGCCGAGCGGTCAAGGTGGCAGCCCAAGAAGCACAGAGAAATGGTGACGATTGATAACATACGGATGATGCGGCCGGATGGCCGAGCGGTCAAGGTGGCAGCCTACCACTCTGGGGACCCGGGCTCGAATCCGAACGGGTCGAAAAATCCCCAGGAACTTTTCGAGGGGTGGTCCGCTCGGATATGTCGGGCACCGTCCCTCACCACCCGGCAGCCTCATTGTGGGCCTGGCCGAATCCATAATGGGCTTGCAAAAAGAGGCCCTCTTAGTGCCCATAGGGCGGAAAGAGTTAAAAAAAAAATATGGACTCATGCGTCCGATTAGCTGGCCTTTAGATGGAATGGCCATACGCGCGCGGGGGAAAGAATGCCTTCCGGGAGGTCTTAAGGGAAAATGGCTCCTATTCAGGCGTTACAGATGTGGAGAAAACCCGGAAAACTCCACGTGGCCAGCCCGTCCGAACCCACGACCGAACTCCCAGTGTTCACGGGCGAAGTCCGCTTGGCCACTGTGTGCGGAAACACTTGCGGGGATTAGGTTTAGAAAAGAAAGAGATCCACATTAGAATTTCGAACCAGGGTCATTTTTAATTAATAGGAAAAAATAATATAATACTGATTCAGTTTTTACTTGTTAGGTGTTACATTTACAAAACAATACGGTATTTTACAGTAAAAAATAAATATATTTGGCGCTGCGATCGCTAACTCATTGAAACGACAATTTAAGCATGTATTTGATGGAAATATTTGGGGAAGTTCGTGTAATATTAGAAGAATAAGAGTATATTTAGTTGTTATATTAATTAGAAAATGTAACTATCGTTCATCATCTCGAATATATTGTATTTTGTTTTGTCTTTCCTTGTTTATTCATAAAAATTTAGTTTTAAGGACGACTAATATAACTTATATTTTTGAACTTCACTCAAGTAATATAGCACAATTATAAGTGCTATGTGATCATGACGTACAGAGTAACAGCGATTCCAAAATCTAATAGCACTCCCTCTCATAATTTCGCTTCCATGTTTAATATGGGAAACACGATCTACCACGTGCGCTGACGCTAATATTTCTGCTTATCTGTACTAAGATTGAAGAGAATGTACAGCACATTATGTTTAAAATCGTTGCTGACAATCGCAGTATAATAACATGAAAACGCAATATCAGTTTAATGAAATATGCAGAGATATTGGCTTAGAGCCTCCTTTCTCAAACATGCATCAAAATGATGATAGCGTGTACTAACACTGTTCATCACAATACACAATTTGAATCACATCACTATTTCAATCTTCACATTGTAATCACATAGGACTTATATACATATATTACATTACTGATATAAAATACTCATTAATTATAATTATTAAGATCTTTATGCTTTAAAGTAACAAATATATATCTCTTGTTTTTCTAGAAATGTGTGTTAGATTGGTATTTTCGGAAATTATAATCATATACTAGCAACAAAAGCATCGATTTATGAAGCTATGTTTGCATTCAAATGATGTACCACAAAATTTATTGCAAAGGATAATGATACATCATGATTACTTTCATAAGGAATGCCTCCTCGAAGGTTTTTACCTTCATTTATACAAATGCTAGATACTTTTCAAATAATTCTGCGTATGATGTTATTGTCGTGGGAGGTGGACATGCTGGCACTGAAGCTGCTACGGCTGCCGCTAGGATGGGCTGTAAAACGCTTCTACTCACCCATAAATTAGAGACGATTGGTAAATTTATTTATTGTATTTCTCTTAATAAACTTTTGGTAAAAGTAAATATGAAAACTTTTGTATAAATTTTAGGGGAAATGTCGTGTAATCCATCATTTGGAGGAATTGGAAAAGGTCATTTGATGAAAGAGATCGATGCTCTCGATGGAATGTGTGCTCGTATTTGTGGTTGGTTTTAGTTTAAAATATGACTTTATATTGTTTGGTTTGATTTATACAGCTTTGATTTCTTTACAGACAAATCAGGAATTCATTATAAAGTTTTAAATAAAAGGAAAGGTCCCGCTGTTTGGGTAAATAGAATACTTTTTTTTGTCTTTATAAATTAATGTTTGAAAATGAAGGTCTTTCTTTATGCAATAACTAATTATTTATCTAAAGTTTATTCCAATTGAATAACATTACAAGATTTTCATGACAATTATATTCTCTCTCTCTCATAAGCATGAAATCATATCTATTCATTGCTATATAGAGTTTCTATTAAGAGAATTTTTATTAAATTTTATGTATATTGTTTGAAAATCTTAAATAAAAGTTTATGGCTATTTTTAGGGTCCTCGGGCTCAAATTGATCGTGCCTTATATAAAAAGCATTTACAGAAAGAAATATTTTCTTATCCAAATTTGACAGTAATTGCTGGTTCTGTTGAAGATCTAATAATTCAAAACATAAATGGATTGAAATGCCATGGTATAGTATTAGGTAATTACTTTGGTTTCATAGGAATTAAAATACAATTACTGATGATATTATTTTTGTGTTTTTGTATTTTATATTAATAAATTAATGTTTTCTTTAGCAAATAAGGAAGAGATTTGTGGTAAAACAGTAGTAATAACTACAGGAACGTTTTTACGTGGACAAATTAATATTGGATTAGAAAGTTTTCCAGCTGGGAGAATGGGTGATGAACCTGCTATTGGACTAGCTAAAACATTAGAGAGAGCTGAATTTAAATTAGGGAGATTAAAAACTGGTGAATAAAAGTTTTGATTTTTCAATTGAAATTCATTTGAAATAATAAAAATAAATGATCAAATGATGTGATAATTAAAAGAAATTTCTAAAATAAGCTTTTATTGATATTGAAACACATGAATATAACCAGTTTTAATTTTCATTTTAAAAGTAAAAATTATAATGAAAAATTGACACAATCTATTTTAATGCAGATATTAAATGTCTATCTGTTTTTAAAGTTATTATTTTTTTTAAATGTAACAATATTATATCCAGATAATACCTTGCATTTTAATTTTTTATTGAGACCTAATAGCAAATGATATTTAAGTAGGACATTTAAATACTAAAAATCATATAAATACTTATAAAAATTATAACTTATATAATTTTTTTAGTGCCTAGATGTCCTGAAATGATATACTATTAGTTCTCAATAAGAAGTCATTTTCATACAGAAAAAATTTACTTTACATGATTGATAAACCTGTTACTTTTTATTATTCAAACTACTTTTTGGACACAGCTTGTATTTTATCTAAATACAAGGTGTGTCTGAAAAGTAAAGATACATTGTGTATAAGCAGGAAGCTAATGTTTTAGTACATACTGTGACAAAGTCTATTTGAGCTTGAACCTTTCATGCTCTTTTTGTGATCATTCATCATTGCTATGCTAAGTCTAGTTCAAGTAGTATGTGTTTACAATGGCTATGCTGATTCAGAATCCTGCCAAAGTGCACTCCATCATATGTTTTCTCAATGTAAAGGTGTAAAGTGCCCAGCAGATATTCACAGACAAATTGTTACCATTTATGGGAACATTGTGAATTAACAAAATGTAAGAAAATGATGCCATGCATTTTCTGGAGGAGAGAGTGATGTTCATAATGAACACAGGAATTGTAGGCTGTCTGTGATCTCTAATGAACTACTTCAAAGAACTGAGGAAGCATTTCATGCAAATTGGCATCTCACAATAAGAATTGCATGAAATCATTCTGGGGCCTTAGTCTCGAGTTTTTCGTGTTACAACTCCCAACGTGTTGAAGTTGTCACGTGGTACCATCTCACACACTGATGTCAAATTGGTAGTCTCGAGTTCTAACTCACGTGCTTTCCCATCTCACCATGCGAGTTGCTATTCACGTTGAGTCGAGCATGTGAGATCGCTACACGAAAGTAAAAATGGCTGATGGATACGCAATTCTTATTGCTATCGAAGAGTTAGAAAGAGCCGAAAGACGTTGTTTGAGAAGGCAACGAATTTTTCGACCACGAGTAGATGACATTTCTTTTCGTGTCAAGTCAATACTAATAAAAAAAACTTTAATTCATAATTGATAAATGTATACAGCAAATTTTTCTAAAAATAAAAAGAAGTATCTAATTCATCGAAAAAGAGTATTAAAATGATAGTAAATTATATGTATAGATTATTAAAAGCATAGACACTACATTAAGATTATTTATTAATCAGAAGTGTTAAGTTCTGATTAATAAATAATCTTAATAGACAAAACAATTTAAGAAATAGATCAAGGAAGAAAACTATATGAAGAAAGGATTAAGTTTAAATACATTTTCCATTACATAACGGATTTTTTAGGTTCAACACACGCAATTAATTTTTCAAGTAATTCTCTCCACAAAGCGAATTGTCTTTTTCTTGTAAATTCGTTGTCGAATTTTCCGCTGTTCATTTTCTTATTATTTTCTATATATGTTACTAATATTTCTTTTTGTTCTTCGCTTATTTTTTAAAATAAAACATTCGAGGTTTTCATTTTGTTTCTGCGTACTATATTGCCACAAGACAACTTTTAACTGTAGCACGTGTAAACTAATTCGCGTTGATTTGTTTACAACTTGTTACAGTTAAGTTGATTGGTCGAATCATTATAGTTGCAAACCCAGATGCATTGTAAATAATCCCATCATGCTTATCGACAAACGTAAACAAGTGAATATGACTTACTTCCGCTCGCCTTTCGAATTCACTCGAAGGGTCTAACTCGAGACTACCGATTATGTGAGTTATAGTAACACGAGTGAGTTCGATGACGTCAGTTTGAGTACAACACGAAAAACTCGAGACTAAGGGCCCTGGAAGTGTCTAAGTCCATACTTCATGAAGCTGTGATTGTAACATTAGGATACAGGAAATTGTGTATTCTGGATACCCAAAATGTTAATGGACAAACACAAAACGAAACAGACGGGCTTTGCACTTGACTTCCTCAGTGTTATGCACACACAAGAGATAAGTTTCTTGACTACATTGTGGTGGGTGATGAAACTTGGATTTACCACAATACTCCTGAATCCAAGCAACAATCACTGCAATGGCACCATACTTATTCCCCAAAAAATTCCTAAGAAATTCAATATTTCAAATAATTATATAACCCAAGAAATTCAAAACTTCACTTTCAGCAAAAAAAGTCATGGCTTTTATTTTCTGGAACAGAAAAGACATTCTTCTGATTGACTTCATGTTCCTGACACCATAATTAATGCTGCTGCACATTGCCAAACCTTGTAATGCCTTTGATGGGCCATTCAAAACAAATGGAGGGGAATGTTGGCAATTATTGTCCTCCTCCTTTATGATAATGCTTGGGCTTACACAATGATTGTCACTAAAATGCTTCTCAAGTGATTCAAGTGGGAAGTTTTTGACCATCTGCCATACAGCCCAGACTTTGCTCCCAGTGATTTACACTTTTTTTTATCTGAAGAAACATCTTGTAGGACAACACTTCCATGGCAATGATGAGATCAAAAACGAAGTTGAAATGTGGTTTTGACAGCAAGCGGTAGAATTCTGTGACTCTGGAATACTGAAACTAGTATTGTACTGAGACTTAGCAAGTGTTTGAACAATGGTGGTAATTACGTAAAAAAATAACGTACATATTGGTAAATAAAGTGTAGTGGACTTTTGGTTAAATAAAAATGTTTTGAATGAATACTAACTACAGTAGACCCCCCCCTATAAAACAGGTTCATGTAATACAGATTTGTATAACACGGGAAAAAAATTGCAATCATATTTGTATAAACACGCTAAAAGAGACTCGTATAATACAGTAAACCATCATTGCCGATTCGTCAAATCTAGACCAATAGCACAAACTGTTGAGTTTAAATGAGCACTGGATTTACTAAAAAACATTTATTATTCAACGTCCATAAAAATTATATTTTTATTAATGATGTCTCCAAAGTTCAGCGAATTTTTTGCAGAAAAATAACTTATCAGGAAACACACGCCCGCCGTTCAATGCGCCACTTCACAACGAAAACAAGCTTAAGCAATGGCGTCGTTGAACGGTGCACACTTGGTAAGTAATCCTACAAGTTTTTGTTTATAACATAGTTTATATGAATTATTCCCAAAAAATTATACATGTTTTGGAAATGTTTAGTCAGAGTCAAATTAGTCTAGAATTGATTAATTTTATGGAAGAAAACCTTTCAAACAGCTGTAGTCCCTAAACTGGGCTGTGATTGGCTCATGCATTTAAGTGAATCGTAAAACACAGAATTCATATAAAACGGAACATATCTACTGTTTATAGGGGGTCTACTGTATTGTATCTTTACTTTTCAGACGTGCCACATATATAAAATGAAAAGAAAAGTTTAGGGCCACATCTAATGCTATATTATTTATTCAGATTTTATATGCACTATTGTAAGGCTAAAACAGTGTGTAAAAGAGAACTTATTTAGAAAGTGTTTTTAATTCTTTAGAAGCATATAAGTGCATATTCTTTTACAAAATTAAATAACACTTTAACATGTTGATGAATACAAGATAAAGTTTCTCATACAAGTTTTGTTAAATGTTGAACTACTGTATATTAATTTATTAGTTGTTTATCAGTGATAAATGAATAAAATATTAAGTTGTATACAAAAATTAATTAAAATCTTAATTTTTATTATATTTTTGATATTTTCTATTAAATTTGCTTTAATCATTATTAATTCTTAGTAAAATTTAATGCTCTGAAATGCCATTCCAAAATTTCATATTCATTTAAATTTAAGAAAGCAAATTGCGTTTGAAAGTTTTAATTCAAAATATTAAAATTATCTCTTTTAGGAACACCACCAAGACTAGAAAAACAGAGTATTGACTTCTCAGTTACAGAATTGAAATATGCTGATAATCCTCCTCAACCATTTTCTTTTGTGAATGAAAAAGTTTGGATAGAGGCAATTTTCAAAATTTTATCTTTTCTATAAAAGTTTAATTATGAAATATAAATTTTTATTATTTTAAAATATTTTAATTATTAGCCTGAAAAACAAGTATTGACATATATGACTTACACTACTCCAGAAGTTGTTAAAATTGTTATGGACAATCTTCATCTTAGCTCCCATATTAAAGAAGAAATTCGAGGACCTAGGTAAAAGTATTTGTTATGCTTATTTGTCTAATATAACAAACAATATACAATATCAATAATTATAAATATATAAAATTTTGTATATGTGTATTTTCACAAATTCATTAATTTGTTTTCCTTTTAATATTCAAGTAATTAAAATTATATCTTGTTTATTAACAATGATAAATTCTCATATTTTTATCTTTTATAAAATAAAAATACAGTGGTATCTCGGTATACATCTGCTTTAGAATACGTCCAATTCGGAATATGTCCTGTTTGGACGAAACAAATTTTGCTCGGTATACGACTTTTGTTTGGTATACGACTTAATTTAATTATATGTGCCATCTATGAACAAGTAACACTATCAGTGGCATAGTGTGGGTGTCAGCTGCCCTGGGTGGAGAAAAATTTCGCTTCTCTTATTTAAATATCTCAATTTAAAAGACTAAAATTGAGTTTTGTCACAAAATAAGCAATGAAAAATTACGTGCTAATGCAGAGACCTGTTTAAAATAACTCTATTGGATAGTGGAGGTGTATATGAGTCGTACTTTACCTCTTTATAAATTTATAGTATATTGTAACTTACACTATAAAAATTTTGCTTGTATTATTGTTTTGTGTTTTGTTAATTCTGCTAACATTAAACAACTGTCAATAATACATATGATTATAATAAGTGGATCCTATTGTATTTTTGAAAGAATAACTATTGATGGGGGAAAAAAGTAAATGAATCATAAATCAGAATTATCAAAAACATTAAATAACAATGAAAAGTCATGCTTGAATATATAAAGAAAAAATAATTTCTATATTTAATTAATATGTAAATTATTTTAAAACAAAAATTTAAATTTGATTATGTTTGATTGATTGTCACTCATTTATTGAATAAACATACACAGTGTATATTGAAAAAATTTTCTATTTATTACAAATCAAAAATTACAGTTAGTAGAGTAGACCAATACTCTACTAACTGTAATTTAATTAAGTAAATAAAATAATTTTGTTTTCTGAAAATGATAATGTTAAGAAACTGGTATTTAATTTTGTGGTATTTTTATGTTTAAGATTTTAAATGATTAAATATGTACAGTAAATAAATAATGGGAAATAATTTTAATATTTAAATACAGTAATACCCTCAGTTACGTAAGTAATGCAGACTGCAGTTTTGTAACTTGAATTTCACATAAGTCAAATTTATAAATTGTTTAAGTGTAACTACATAATTAATAACTCAATACTGCATTTATTACCGTGTTTCCCCGAAAATAAGACAGTGTCTTATATTAATTTTTGCTCTGAAAAAGGCGCTAGGTCTTATTTTCAGGGAATGTCTTATTTTTTCCAGGAAGAAGAATTCACATTTATTATTGAACAAAAAAATTTCCAATTCGAACTTAGACGAGAGTGACGTATATCCAGTGTGTCGAACTGTCGCCTTTTTATAGCGTCAACATTGGACTCGATGACCAATTAGTGCTTACTGAACCATAGCACTATGCAAATGTCATATGGCATGATTCCTGGTTGACCAATTAGCCATCACCAGCCGTAACGTTATGCAAATCTGTGATTCCCAAGCCATNATTTTTGCTCTGAAAAAGGCGCTAGGTCTTATTTTCTGAGGATGTCTTATTTTCGGGGAAACACGGTATTATATGTGTACTTTACATATATTATTTATTATTTTTTTGTATAAAAGAATTGTTTATGAGAAAAAGTGCCCAGTACGCTTGCATACATGCTTACAATTAGACCAAACAGTAAAGGATTAGCAGTACAATAAAGTAATAAATTGATACAGTGTGAAAGAAAGAAAGGAAGAGAGAGAGAGAATAAATGAATGTTTGAAATAGAATAATTCTGTCTGAAAAATGTCTGAAAAATTAATACAGTTTATTTTTGCTTTTGAGTTATGTCACAAATCACTTAAATTGAATTTAATACTGAATTTAATTTATTTGCATTTCAATTTATTATGTAAGTTGATAATATTAAAATAAATATTATCAATTTAATGCCTTGATTAAATATAAGTTTGTGATTCATTAATTGTTTTTTAGTAATTTAAAGTTTTTTTATAATTATATAAAATTATTTTCAAATAAAAACAAGTATATTTTTATTCTAGATACTGTCCATCCATTGAATCAAAAGTGATTAGGTTTAAAAATAGAGAACATCAAATATGGTTGGAACCAGAAGGTAAAAAAATATGTAATCAATTATATTGTATACACTTAATGTAGTTTATATAATTTAAATTCAATATCACTGAAATATTAATAATAGAGAAAATTATTCAAATAATGAATTTGATTTTCTTAAATTTTCTTGATTGGTTTGTTATGAAAAAAGTAAATACAATAAAACCCCACTTAATGCGGGGGATGAATTCCTAGATGACAAAGTGCTAAATGAAACAGCATTAAACAAGGTCATTTTAACATAGAGTAAATAGGGATAGGGAAACATGTGACCAAAAATTTTTAAAATTTTACTTTAATTTTATTTTTGGTCATGTGTTTCCCTATCCCTATTTACTCTGTTAAAATGACCTCGTTTAACACTATTTTGTTTAGTACTTTGTTGTCTAGGAACGTATCCCCCGCATTAAGTGTGGTCTTACTGTATATCTAATTTTTTAAGATTATTATAAATTTGAAAATTAAATAAATTTATCAATTAGTATCATGAATGTTATATGAATCAGATTCATAATGACAATACATTGCAAATGAATAAATTTTTATTCATTTACAATGTTTTTNATAATAATACATATATTAATTAGTTCATTTTTTCTATATTAATAGTTAATTTTTTGTGACGAGGGTCTTGACTTTTCTGAAATTCTTGTTTTTTTGCAATAAAGTTGTGAAGTTTCATTTGTTGCATTTTTCTTTCCTGAAGCAAATGTCGGTAGCAGAAGATCGCATCCAAAATGCCTTCTTTTGCTTTTGCACTCCTTTCAAAATCTGGATCATTCGCTACAATTTGATCAATGATTTTGGTTATCTTACCAAACTTTTACTAAGGAAATCTGTAGAGAAATTTTTTGTGTTCTTTGTTTTCACAATCACTATTTTCCAGTTCTACACGGATTCCTTGTTCTGCCAGTTCTTGAAGGTCGTTGTTGACCAGAAACCTGCAGTAACTCCTCAATATCCTATTTGTTTACATCTCGTAGTCATGCTATATCGATTAGGTTGAGTTTGATCAACCTAATTATACAGCAATAGGCTCTTCTCATTGAGAATTCTTGGATACAGTCAGGCATAACTTCTTCCACACTTTGTTCATGCATTTATCAGTTAATTCTTGCCAAGGGAAGCCGATATTGCCTATGGCATCCATGATGTTATATTTTTTCCAAAATTGCACCAAACAAACAGATTGAAAGAAAGTACACCTTTTTCTGATTGGTTCGTGTTCATAAGTAATCGTATTATGTATCAATCAATCCAATCAATGAAATGCCATGATAATTTAAACCAGCGTAAATTTTGAGCATTTTTTTTAGGCTTTGGGCAGAGGCGTAATATCGAATCAGCATTAAGCGGGGTCTTACTGTGAATTTGATATGAAAATTTAGCTCCAAAAGATTACCATGGTAAAATATTATTAAATTATAATAAAACATGTAAAATTATAATGGTTCAGTGAAAAATTCAAAATTTAAAGATGTGTATTGAAAAATTGATTTGATACTGATTAAATAATTTCATGTTGAAAAACTGTATTAGAAAATCATGTAAGCAGTTAATTTAATTAGTAACTTTGAAATCAACCATTTTTATATAATTTATATACTTTTAACCAAAGTTGAGTTGTTGATTTGGACAAAACATTTCATCTGTAAGACTGTATATCCAGTTTCAAAATAAAATATTTTACTTGTATGTTATGTAATATAATATTTTGTTTCAGAATGTCTTTATAAAATTTAGATATGTAGGGATTTTTTTTTAATCTGGCAGTTTCAAAAGTTTTTTATTGATTGCTTGGATATGCAGCAAGATATTTTTCATTTCATATATTTCCATTTTTATATATTCAATTTTTGACATTGCCCTTGGGCACTAAGAGGGCCTATTTTCCATGGCCATCATTGGTTTAGCCAAGCCTGTAATGGGAGTGGCCAGATGGTAAAGACAGAGCCTGAAATAACCAGAATAGATCACTCAAAACAATATTTTTGGGTTGTTTGCCTGAATTTGATTCTGGTATGCTAATGCCTTAACTATCTTGCTCCTCTGGCCGTCTGTAGCATTGTTTTGCTTTCATAAAACATTCCTGTTCAAACTTGATCCTTTGAATTTTTAAGGATAATTAAGATAGGGATGTTATTTTCCATGCATGTTGGCCAATCTCATTGCAAACAGATCAGATGAATTCATAATAGCCATAATTTAGAACAGTTATAAATCTATAGAGCACTGATGAATTGAAAATCAAGTCAAAAGTGTTTGGAAGGAAATTTAAGAAAATCTATAATGTACCAATATGAATTTTCTTAAGAATAATGATTTATAATTAGAAAAAAATTATTTTTAAATATGTTTTTAATCATTTTCATTTTGTTTCCTTTTAACATTTCAAAACTCAGTCTTCAATTTCTATATGCTAATAATAAAATATATTTTATTTTTCTGCCTAAATTAATTAATTAATTAATCCAATATTTTTCTCTTAAAATGTAGAATCAGCTTCTTTCAATTTTTGATTTTTCTAAAATTCTTTTTATACTTTATGCTTTATATTCTTTGAAAAATCAGATTTATTGAGAAAATGCTATTTTTATCTTTACATACAATATTACAAAATAAATATTTTTAGGTCTTCAATCAGATGTGATATATCCAAATGGAATATCATGTACTCTTCCACCAGATGTTCAATTGGAAATGGTTCATGCTATACCTGGATTGGAAAAGGCTATAATGATTAAACCAGGTTCTTAAAAAGTTATAAAACATTTTCTTTCTAATTATAATCTTTTAAAAATGCATATTTTAATTTTTAGGGTATGGTGTTGAATATGACTTTATTGATCCCAGGCAATTGAAACCATCATTAGAAACTTTGAAAATAGAAAATCTTTTCTTAGCTGGACAAATTAATGGTACTACAGGTTATGAAGAAGCAGCAGCTCAAGTAAATAATTTCTTTTGTGTAGCATTTTTACAAATATACTTGTGTGTGTTAGTTTATGTATGTATGTTTCTGAGTGTGGAATTTGCAAAGGAGTATATGACTAACAAACAAAAGTTATTTAGGGAGTTTAACAAATTGAATACACAAGTAAAATGATTTAGTAAACAAAGAAAATGTGGCTTCTACTTCAGTCCTACTTCAGCAACTTACAGACTCTCATTAAGACTTCCACTTCCACTTCTTTCTCATACTCTAATTAATCTCAACTATCACATTGTGTTTGATACTTTCCTTACTTGTCTTATCTGATTAGTAAATTAGTTAATTATATAGAATGTATTTCCACAAGAGTTTTCATATATTATATATAATTAACAAATTTATTGAAAGAATATAATTTTGAACTTTGACTTATACAGGATGATTTACTTGCAACTGAACATTTTGTTCAATATCCCATGATTGCACAGTCACATTTGAATAACATGTAATATAAAACATACCTTGGTTGATTGCTTCACTATGAAATAAAGAATTGCTCTGTCATGTTTCATGCTCAGTTTATCATTTTACATTCAGATAGTCCACATAATGAGTGTTCAGTCTTGAGTGAATCACTTTGTAGCTTTCTTTTTGAAAAATGAGTACAGTAGAGCATCGATTATCCGAATACCGATCAACCAAAACATCGGTTAACCGAAAGTGTTCCAGTTGGCAAATTCAAATTTCTGCTAGTGCTGTGGCACTGCAATATTTGGCTATGTCTTGGGCTACTCCAATATTATTTTTGTTGGTGTATGTGCTTTAGCTGGCAGTACTGGTGTGACCATGAGAGGCTACTTAATTAATTAATTAATTAAGGATGCGCCAGTATTTGAACAAGGCTTTTTCCCATTGTGAGTGGTGAGTTTTGCTTGTTTTGTGTGATGTTTTTCTGAGGACTGTGTGTGGGGACATGTGTCGTGCTGAATTGGAATGTTTTTTGATACTAGATTAATTTCCGAAATATAATTTTTTTAAAAGCATACATGATAACATGAACAACCCAGGATATTTTCTATTGAAGTTCATCCAAGCCAATATACTGTTACTTCTGTGGTGTGTTAAAAGGATGAAAGATAGACTCGAAAAATTTAAAAAATTTTTTGTAAATAGTCATAATTCAATTTTTAATAATTTTTTTTGTTTTTATATTTTTCAATATATTTATTTTGTTTGTGCAAAATAAAGAAATAATTTTTAATGATACAATAGCTATGGTTATTATTTTAAAAAATTTTTGTCAGGCTTAACATTGGTGAAAATTCAACGCGAAGCGTCATGCAACAGAGAAAAATTTCAACATGGGATAGGTTAATATATTTTTCTTACATGATCAATTATCCGAACAACCCCAGTCCCGAATTGTTTTGGATAATCAATGCTCTACTGTATTTCTATTAACATGTAAACCAATTATAGTTTTATAAAAAAATTTGCATATTAATAGAAATATTCATTTTAAGAGTTGTTTTTTTTATTTACTTATTTATTGTATAGGGTATTATAGCAGGAATAAATGCAGGATGTAAGGTAAAATGCCTAAATCCATTTATTGTGGATCGCACAGAAAGTTACATTGGAGTATTAATTAATGATCTAACAACACTTGGAACTGACGAGCCATATAGGATGTTTACCAGTAGAGCTGAGTTTCGTCTACTGCTTAGACCAGACAATGCTGATTTAAGACTTACTGAGAAAGGTTTGATTATTTTTGTTTATGCTGAATATAATTTTTAAGTAAATTCTATTATTTCAAATTAAAATTAATAAAAAATTTTAATATTTCAGGACACAAAGTTGGATGTGTTTCAGAAGAAAGATATAAAAACTTTTGTGTTATTAAATATCATCTTGATTCTGCTATTTCATTTTTAAAATCTCAAATGAAACCTATTAAAATGTGGAAAAATTTAATTAATGTTGAAAGTGTAGGAAACTGCAATGAATTTAAAACGTAAGAACATTGTAAAATTAAGATATATTTATTTCTGTTGCTAATTATTCAAATTTTAATTTAGTGCTTTTGAATTACTTCGATGTGAATGGGTAACATTTGATATGTTATCTGAACTCTTTCCAAATGAATTGAAGTCACTTGCAAAAGATGAACATTTAATAAATAGATTGAAAGTAGAAGGTAATTATATCTCAAAATAATTTTTCTCTAATAAACACACTAATACTAAAAATTCAGTAGCAAAAAAACAAAACTGCATTCAATTTTTCTCTAAATTTTTAAGTTGTTATAATTCATTTTTTAATTTACCTTTTTAGCCATCTATGAAGATGCTATAAAAGAACAGAAAGCTGAAATTAAAGAAATGCAACAAGAGAATGAACTGGAATTGCCACAAGATATTGATTATAACTTGTAAGATTACAGTATTAGTTTATCTTTCATTTATTAATAAAATTCATTAAATAAAACTTTTGAAATATTTTTAGGGTCAGTTTAAATCTTTCAAATGAAGAGAAAAAGAAATTGGAAGATTGTAGGCCTGCAACAGTGAGTTATTTATAGAAAAAATTTCAATTGTTCAATATAGTTTAAAAAAAAATTCTTTGTGAAATTTCATTTTAAAGGAATCTAAAGATAGGACTAGACTTGTTACATATCCTTATATTATTCTATCAATCTAGGGATATGATATGATGCAATGTGACTTATTTTTCTTCCATATCTCATATACCATATCATGTTTCCATTTAAAAGGCAAGAACAGGACAAAGTTTTAGTTTGGAAACAGTTTTAAAAACAGCAATGACCCATCTGTGAAATTAAGAAGAATACACCTACATTTATTACATTTTTAAACGAAACAAGTCACAGTAATTAATTTTATAATATCCTCCTTACTCCATTCCATTCCAAATATAAACACATTTAATAAACACAGACTTGTGTGTAGCCTTTGCACTCTACATGTGGTGTGTGCAACTGAGAAGAAATAGACTGATGAGATGTGTGCACATCCTTATGTTGGGTATCATCCCTTTGATGTGATGGCAAAAGACTGACAAGAGAATAATTGCATTTAATGTGTATCATTGTATCAACATTTTGATACAAAACAGTTTGTTGGTGCCATTCACACTGACATGATACAAGGATACACAACAAGTCTCAACCTACCTTAAAGAGGAGTAATAGGCTACTTGATATTTTGGTGCTTTAATTAACTCCTTTATCAGCATTCTTTACTTGAAATAACAAAACAAAATTGTTGCGTAAGAAGTACTGTAATGGTCAAATGTGAGTGCTATGAAAGTCTTGGAAATATTTGATCTGGAAGAATTAGAAAATTATTTTGTATATGAATCTATGCAGAGGTGATAAGAAACGAGAATGCTTATATCAAACCATTAACTTTAATATCAAAAATGTTCCTCAGTTGTGCTTTCTAAAACATTTTCACTTCAAAGAAAACAGTATGAGTTAGATTTTTAATAAGGACTGTAACAATAGAAAGCCATAAAATTCAAAAGACGTCAACTTTTTTCTTTATTATTTATAATTCTGTTTGTTGCCATAGCAACAATTTCAAATAATTAAAATAAGAATTTCATTATCAGTTTTATTAAATTAACTGTGCTGTTGATTTAACAATGAATGAAATAGACTGTCAAAAAGCAACTGTCAACAAATGGCTGGAAAATCCAGAAAAATCAAGACATTTCATAGAAGAGCTGTAAATTTGCCAAACTATAGTTGATGGAGTGTTAAATTGTATTATAAGACATTGTTCATTTCTTGAAATCCAGGTTTTATTGGAAAATGTGCTTGCAGCTCACAACTCAATCAGAAGATAATCAAAGTTTCATTTCCAAAAATTGCATTATATCAGTGAGAGATGTGGCAAAAATTTGTGAAATTAATCAATTGTTCAAAAGACTAAGCAGTGTGCGAATATGAAATCATATAAAACACAAATTTTTGTTTTTATATTTTTCAATATATTTATTTTGTTTGTGCAAAATAAAGAAATAATTTTTAATGATACAATAGCTATGGTTATTATTTTAAAAAATTTTTGTCAGGCTTAACATTGGTGAAAATTCAACGCGAAGCGTCATGCAACAGAGAAAAATTTCAACATGGGATAGGTTAATATATTTTTCTTACATGATCAATTATCCGAACAACCCCAGTCCCGAATTGTTTTGGATAATCAATGCTCTACTGTATTTCTATTAACATGTAAACCAATTATAGTTTTATAAAAAAATTTGCATATTAATAGAAATATTCATTTTAAGAGTTGTTTTTTTTATTTACTTATTTATTGTATAGGGTATTATAGCAGGAATAAATGCAGGATGTAAGGTAAAATGCCTAAATCCATTTATTGTGGATCGCACAGAAAGTTACATTGGAGTATTAATTAATGATCTAACAACACTTGGAACTGACGAGCCATATAGGATGTTTACCAGTAGAGCTGAGTTTCGTCTACTGCTTAGACCAGACAATGCTGATTTAAGACTTACTGAGAAAGGTTTGATTATTTTTGTTTATGCTGAATATAATTTTTAAGTAAATTCTATTATTTCAAATTAAAATTAATAAAAAATTTTAATATTTCAGGACACAAAGTTGGATGTGTTTCAGAAGAAAGATATAAAAACTTTTGTGTTATTAAATATCATCTTGATTCTGCTATTTCATTTTTAAAATCTCAAATGAAACCTATTAAAATGTGGAAAAATTTAATTAATGTTGAAAGTGTAGGAAACTGCAATGAATTTAAAACGTAAGAACATTGTAAAATTAAGATATATTTATTTCTGTTGCTAATTATTCAAATTTTAATTTAGTGCTTTTGAATTACTTCGATGTGAATGGGTAACATTTGATATGTTATCTGAACTCTTTCCAAATGAATTGAAGTCACTTGCAAAAGATGAACATTTAATAAATAGATTGAAAGTAGAAGGTAATTATATCTCAAAATAATTTTTCTCTAATAAACACACTAATACTAAAAATTCAGTAGCAAAAAAACAAAACTGCATTCAATTTTTCTCTAAATTTTTAAGTTGTTATAATTCATTTTTTAATTTACCTTTTTAGCCATCTATGAAGATGCTATAAAAGAACAGAAAGCTGAAATTAAAGAAATGCAACAAGAGAATGAACTGGAATTGCCACAAGATATTGATTATAACTTGTAAGATTACAGTATTAGTTTATCTTTCATTTATTAATAAAATTCATTAAATAAAATTTTTGAAATATTTTTAGGGTCAGTTTAAATCTTTCAAATGAAGAGAAAAAGAAATTGGAAGATTGTAGGCCTGCAACAGTGAGTTATTTATAGAAAAAATTTCAATTGTTCAATATAGTTTAAAAAAAAATTCTTTGTGAAATTTCATTTTAAAGGAATCTAAAGATAGGACTAGACTTGTTACATATCCTTATATTATTCTATCAATCTAGGGATATGATATGATGCAATGTGACTTATTTTTCTTCCATATCTCATATACCATATCATGTTTCCATTTAAAAGGCAAGAACAGGACAAAGTTTTAGTTTGGAAACAGTTTTAAAAACAGCAATGACCCATCTGTGAAATTAAGAAGAATACACCTACATTTATTACATTTTTAAACGAAACAAGTCACAGTAATTAATTTTATAATATCCTCCTTACTCCATTCCATTCCAAATATAAACACATTTAATAAACACAGACTTGTGTGTAGCCTTTGCACTCTACATGTGGTGTGTGCAACTGAGAAGAAATAGACTGATGAGATGTGTGCACATCCTTATGTTGGGTATCATCCCTTTGATGTGATGGCAAAAGACTGACAAGAGAATAATTGCATTTAATGTGTATCATTGTATCAACATTTTGATACAAAACAGTTTGTTGGTGCCATTCACACTGACATGATACAAGGATACACAACAAGTCTCAACCTACCTTAAAGAGGAGTAATAGGCTACTTGATATTTTGGTGCTTTAATTAACTCCTTTATCAGCATTCTTTACTTGAAATAACAAAACAAAATTGTTGCGTAAGAAGTACTGTAATGGTCAAATGTGAGTGCTATGAAAGTCTTGGAAATATTTGATCTGGAAGAATTAGAAAATTATTTTGTATATGAATCTATGCAGAGGTGATAAGAAACGAGAATGCTTATATCAAACCATTAACTTTAATATCAAAAATGTTCCTCAGTTGTGCTTTCTAAAACATTTTCACTTCAAAGAAAACAGTATGAGTTAGATTTTTAATAAGGACTGTAACAATAGAAAGCCATAAAATTCAAAAGACGTCAACTTTTTTCTTTATTATTTATAATTCTGTTTGTTGCCATAGCAACAATTTCAAATAATTAAAATAAGAATTTCATTATCAGTTTTATTAAATTAACTGTGCTGTTGATTTAACAATGAATGAAATAGACTGTCAAAAAGCAACTGTCAACAAATGGCTGGAAACTCCAGAAAAATCAAGACATTTCATAGAAGAGCTGTAAATTTGCCAAACTATAGTTGATGGAGTGTTAAATTGTATTATAAGACATTGTTCATTTCTTGAAATCCAGGTTTTATTGGAAAATGTGCTTGCAGCTCACAACTCAATCAGAAGATAATCAAAGTTTCATTTATATCAGTGAGAGATGTGGCAAAAATTTGTGAAATTAATCAATTGTTCAAAAGACTAAGCAGTGTGCGAATATGAAATCATATAAAACACAAAAATTATCTAAAGTGATTGAAAAACAAAAGAAGGTAATTAAAACTAGAGCTTTACATCTATAAAATATTTTATTAAAGTAATTTCTAATTTATGAAACTTAAAATAGAATTGTCAAAAAGAACTACATATCAATTGAAAGCTTTTTCTGGTAATAACAGTTCAAAATTAAAAACTTGGTATTTACATCACTGAATTTCTTTCATAGATTATCAAGTTTTAATCTTTGCAGATTTAACATGTTTTTACTATCAAATGAATTTAAGAATATTTGAAATGATAAGATTTCAAAATTGCTTTTGTAAGAGGTCAATAGAATCAAGAGTTGATAATATCATGAAATTAAGCATGTTATTGTTTACACAAACAAGGTTTTAATTATTTATTAATTTGAAAATAACTAGTTTCATAATTTTTATTTACGAAACTAGTTATTTTCAAATTAATAAATAATTAAAACCTTGTTTGTGTAAATGAATATAATGACTGCTTATTTCAGACAGCCAACACTTCTAATAAAACAGATTTTTCAACCAAGCATTGACTATATTTGGTATACTGTAACATTGGTATATTTGGTATCTGTTAACTGAGTTACCAAGTAACTCAGTTAACAGATTAAAATGATGTAGAATATTTGAAATTAATATAAATTTAGTATTGTAACACAAGATATTGATTATAACTTGTAAGATTACAGTATTAGTTTATCTTTCATTTATTAATAAAATTCATTAAATAAAACTTTTGAAATATTTTTAGGGTCAGTTTAAATCTTTCAAATGAAGAGAAAAAGAAATTGGAAGATTGTAGGCCTGCAACAGTGAGTTATTTATAGAAAAAATTTCAATTGTTCAATATAGTTTAAAAAAAAATTCTTTGTGAAATTTCATTTTAAAGGAATCTAAAGATAGGACTAGACTTGTTACATATCCTTATATTATTCTATCAATCTAGGGATATGATATGATGCAATGTGACTTATTTTTCTTCCATANTAGACAAACTGGTAATATTTAACTGTAATATTTCTGGCAAACTGTAATATTTCTGGTGTTTGTCTAGAGATATATACATATATCTCTAGACAAACACCAGAAATATTACATTTACTTTCGTGATACTATAACCCAGTTCCATGTTAATTATAACACTATGAAACTTCCATAAACTGAAATAACAAATAGTATGAATCCAATAAACATAACAAATTATTAGAAAAATTCTAATACCTGACTAGAAAAAATTCTTTACAAATATAAGCATAAATAAACTCAATTGTTAGATTAAAGCTGACTGCTGGATTACAGGCTGGATGGCTGAGTGGTCAATGTAGAGTCTACTGCTCTGGGGAATCTGGGGTTGAAAAATCCCCAGGAATTTTTCAAGGGTGGTCCGTCCAGATATGTCAGGCCCTGTCCCTCACCATCCAGCCGCCCCATTGCGGGCTTGGCCGAACCCATAATGGGCTTGCTAAAAGAGCCCTCTTAGTGCCCCACAAGGCGGAAAGAGTTGGAAAAAAACCTGCCGGATTATATCGGGCTATAAAAATGTTACTATCTTATTAATAATTAAGTAATTTGGCTTAGAGAGGTAGGTGTTAGGTACAATTTCTTGGTAAATTTAATGATAGATTGCTGAGTATTCCAGGTGTTTTGCCATTCATGAAGTAGGTTACTCCAGCATAAGTTTTTAAAAATAGATTGATAAAATTCTATAGGCACATTTACCTTGACATGGAAAAGTTATAGACAGAGCGTCAGATCTAGTTACAGTTTTTGCCGCTAGGAGTTTATAATGTCACCATTGTCGCATCAGCATCAAAAACTGTCCAACATGCTTTCTGCCACTCTCATTCACATATTGCAATCCAGTTATTACATTAGAAAAATTCAAATGCAACATGTCAAGACTAACTCACTTCTCTTACAATTCGGCTCTTCTGATAAATCCTCAACTTCGAGACACCTTGTATATTTGGCAGGATGGCAGAAGTGGTTAAGGCACTGCCACTTTGGGGAAAACTAGGGATTAAGTGCTGGTCAGGAAAAACCACAGTAATTTTTTGGAGTGTCAGGATATGTCGAGCCCGGTCCCTCACCAGCTGGAACCCAATTGTGGCCTGATCGAACCCACAATGAGCTTGAAAAAGGCCCTCTTAGTGCACACAAAATGGAAAGCTTTTAAAAAAGTTATTTGTGGGTCTGATCCCTGGTTTGATCTGGGTTTTGGCCTATTTGGTAGTTTCAATGGTTTTAGCCTATTTAATAGTGTAGTAGTCAACGATTCTAAAAACCCTTATGTAAATTCTTTTTAAATGAAGAGTTAAATTTTTGTTCAAAATCTTCTCTCGAAGCTTTTCCTGAATTGAGGTCAGAATTAAAAAACATTTAGATTAACGTTTCAGTAGAGCTTTCATTTATCTCTTCACATTTTCATTATGTCGGGCCACAACGAGAAAAGTATTCGTTCAGAGAAAAATTAGCAAATTCCTTACTTAAATATAGCTTTGTAAAGAAACGTACATTTTATGTTATTTTTATGTACGTTTCTTTCTTGTTCGTTTTTAAATCTTAAAACAATCCACTTAGTTAAATACTGTAGCTGGCTACCAGTGGCTAATGGATGGAATCTGAGACATTCCTGGTAGGTGTGCAGTGTGTGCATTCATGCGGCTGCTAAATCTCGAGGGTTTCGATACTGGTCAATGTAAAATGCCTCTTTTGTCACATCACTAGTATACCTCAAAGGATGCAACAGGGTTGTTGTAAATTTTAAACATTTCTCATCATAGCTGTAAAAATCTACATATGTTAAACTTAATACTAAGTAGATTGTCCATCATTTGTTTTCTAACTAATTCGTTTTAGAACCAGGTGTCCAAAATTTACAACTTTTCAGTGACTCTCATTGAACTGGAAAAATTTGTCTATTACATCTAATATTACGAAGAAATCAGTCTCCACTGTACTCACTGTACTCATCGGCTAGAGATTGGTTCAGTTAAGCGTTTGTTTAAGTAAAATTCTGGCTGTTTTAGCAGGGTTTTATTTATGTCCCTAATTCCCTAATTTCTTAGTTATTAACCTACTTAAGTAGAAATAAGTTGAAACCGGTCACTTTGTACTTGAATATTTGTAGTCTTGGGAAAAAAGTGGAAAGACAAATTTTTATGACAAACGGATACGTAAATCGTAAATTTAAGGAAAATAAATTCTAGAGCTCTTTTTGTACCTTCTGCATCTCATTTGTTAAATTTAGTTGTAAATGATGCTGCCAAAGAAACAGTTCATTTTTAACGTTTTACAAGAATTGTACATGCTTTTTTCTGAATCCCTTTATAGATGGGACATACTAAATCGTAATATCACTAGTTTAACATTGAAATTTGTAAGTACTACAAGATGGGAGAGCAGAATAAAAGCAGAATAAATATATCAAATATTTTAATGGGTTTTTCTTAAACTCCTGTCAACTATACAGAACTATCATAAAAACATACCAGTAAACTGTTATCGGTTGGGTTAAGTTATAAATCTACTCTGATTGACATAATCGGGCGAAGGCGGCCAAATATCTAGCAGGCAGGCGGCTAACAGCCCAGAACCGGTCCTGGATAGAATTGTTGGAAGTGTTATACGATATTTTGGTGTGTAGCATCCACCAGCTAAACCGCGAGGTTGGTGCTCTGTAAAGCACATGTGCAAATGTGTATAATCTGGCTGCTTTACACCATTCAGATATTTTTGCTGTGGAAGCTGTCCGGTATTCGACAATACAGCGCTTCCATTCCGCCACTTATATTCGAATATACAATAGCAATGTTATCGTTTTATTCACATGTAGTAGAGAAATTTGTAATAAGACACATAATGCGGTTATAATAAAATATTAATTTTAATTAATTCAAAGTACGTTAAAATATGAAAATAATTGCAAATATGTATTTATATTTTAGAAAATACAAGAGAAGCGGAGCTTCCACCGCTTCCAAGGACGACACGCCACTGATAAACACAATATAAATTGTGAATACGATATATAGTTCCTTTCTCATTGCAAACTACAATAATTCACCTAATATTAATAAATAAAAAGAAAGATATGGGCTTAACCTTGATGAACTCGAAAGTCACCTCAAAATTTAACTTTTTTTTGTAACACTAAATCTATCTTATCTTAACACATGTCTTAACAGTTCTATACATTTCCATAATTAAATGTAAATTCTCATCATTCTCTTTTCTTCCTGATTGAGAGTTCTCAGGAATTCCAAAGGCATCATATATTAATATTGTATATACAGGCTTCACTATAAAGTTTTTGACTACCTTTTCTTACACTTAACGAAAACTCCCAAAAATATTTAAAAATGAACATAAATTGTAAGCAAAAAACAAACAGTTTAATCAATTTAAAGTCTAAAATCGTAAAAGTGACAGTTAATATAAATATAAATATAACGACACTTACGAATATATAATGTTGAAAACCGAATTAAAATACTGTATCTGAGTTAAAAACAGGAAAATTTTATATATTAAAAGAATTTCGAATGTTTACAGCTGACTCTTCCTATGCTCAAGCCAAACTTACGCCGTAAAGCGATTGAATCGTTCGAAGTGGCAGAAATATTTATTATGCCAGTATCGCAGCATTAGATCTATTGACAGCGCAAAGACCAATTTGTCCAATATATCTATCGATTCTGGTTAAGCTGTTAGCCTACTTCTGTGGGGGACTCAGTATCGAATCCGGACGAACAATTGCAGGAATTTTTCGTGTGACGTCGGGCCCAGTCTCTCACCGCCAACCACCTCCATTGCGGCCGGATGGCCGAGCGGTCAAGGTGGCAGCCCAAGAAGCACAGAGAAATGGTGACGATTGATAACATACGGATGATGCGGCCGGATGGCCGAGCGGTCAAGGTGGCAGCTTATTACTCTGGTGAACTCGGAATCGAATCCGGACGGGTCGAAGAATCCCCAGGAATTTTTTCGGATATGTTGGGCCTAGTGTTGCCATCTTTTCAAAATCGCTGACCCGGACGGCAGGTGAGGTTTGTTCGAACAGAAGTTCCTGACGCATGCGCAATGTCGTTTTGCATTGCGAAGAATAACGTACAGTGCATAAATATAAAGAAAAATATCCAAACTTAATTAATTCCGCTAACAAAATTAAAAATCATTACAACTATAGCATTCCGTCATGGGTGCAACATTTATCTTATGGAGGGCTTATTAAACCTACTGATGAATGGCTAGCAAAAATTATAGAATGGAATAAATATTTCGAAATATATCACGATGAATCGTATAAAAAAGGCCCCGGAGTTGTACAGAATTAGTCAGTGGAAACAGTTTTACCTTTTACTTTAATAAAAGATTTTTGTAAATTAAGAACTATAATAAGAATTAATTATAGAAATCTTAAACAAGAAAACTATAAAATATTGAAAAGAATGCCTTCTGAAAATGGTGATTGTCGAAAAAAAATTAAAAAGTTAAGTAAGATAATCACATAATAAAAAATATAGCTCATTAATTTGTTAAATAAATATNATTTTGTTCTTCACCTAACATAAAAATATAGCTTTAAATATTTAATGACTTATATTTAAATCATCTTACCTTATAAAAAACTTAGTCAAATAAAACAATTACAGAAATATTAAAATAAATCACTTCGTTAATCACAAAATTGGACGAATATTAAAAGCGAAAACTAAACACGTGCACACCCTGCTCTAGGTAAACAAAGAGGTCAGGTTTCGTCCTGATGTCACTAACTTGGCATTCCTGGCTAACATTGTAGAATAGGGATCTGGCTATCCTTGGTAGTATATAGTCCTTGGGCTAAACCCACTTTTGGTATGATTAAAAGGCCGTCTTATTGCCCACTGGGCGGTAAGAATTAAAAAAAACTAAACATAAATTTGTATTAATATCTTTTTTAACAGTATAAAAAATTTTATACTTTTATTTTTATTATTAAAATTATCCATGTTGGATTATTTTTTTGGCGATTTAATACCACGTCTAGTTAGAACGTGCTTGACGCAATTTGGCAACAACAAAATGAAAGCATGGTCTAACTGTAACTACAGTATTAATATTTATATTCTTAAATTATTAACAATTCATTATAGTTCAAACAGTTTAAAATAAAGAAATAACTCGATTAATTAATTATAAAATTCAGAATGAACAAATTGGCAGGATTATTGTCAAATGCTTGTTTAATCAAAGGCATAAGTCGTGTATCACTCGTGAGAAATTGTTCTACTGTAGAAAAATGTAAACCAGAAAAAATGTTGCATGTTCCCGTTATGAGTCGAGAAGTCATCGAGTTTTTAGATCCTGAAGAAGGCCAGGTGCGTTTTAAAATAATATAAAATCAATTATAATATGATGATGATTTAATTTAATTTCAGACCTACATCGATATGACTTTTGGTGCTGGAGGTCATTCCAAACAGATTTTGGATTGCGGAAAAAATATTAAATTATTTGCTTTAGATAGAGATCCTACTGCCTACAGAGAAGCGAAAAAGATGGCTGAAGTCCACAAGTAAGTTATAGTAAGTTGAAGCTGTGTCAATGGCATTTAATATGAAGATGCTGAATAACAGCTACTATACTATTTTAGATAACGAACACAATATGTATATATATATATATATATATATACAGGTAGCTCTCGGTTTATGCCGCAATTCCGTTCCTACAAAAGCCGGCGCAAATCGAATCGGGGTAAAATGAATCTGTATTTACACTGAGGTATAGGGTTAGTTTCTACATAAGTGAAAAATAAAGAAATAATTTTGTTTATTAATACAATATAATACAAAATACATATAAATTTAATTTTTAAAACGTATTTTATCATAAAATAAAGTGAAATGTTTTTATTAAAAAATTTTAGTTTCGGTTCTCATACATTTTTCGGAAAAGAGGATCCATCTTTAATTAGTATACCTCTAACTGCATTATTAATAATTAATACACTCCACCATACCTTTAAAATACAGTTTAGTTTAACAAGTTATTGAACGTTTTCGGTCAAATTAACAGACCTTCTTCAGGATCGATGTAAAGAATTTAAAGTTGCCAAACGGTAATTCCAAAAACGCACGTTCTACAATCTTCTGAGATTCGATTGCGCATGTCCATTTGTTCTTTACAATGCTGCCGCTTTCCATGCTGATGCTATTTTATTTGCTTCTCGAAAATTTATATTTTGCCTTTTTTTCCTGTATTTATAAATGTGCCAGGCCTCTGCATATTTCAGATGTTGTTTATTATCAATCTTTTGTATAATATCCGCCTTGCTCCATTCGATTGCAATCTCTGTAGGATCCGCGATTGCATAATTAGCCAAAGCCGTGATTGGTTGTTTAAATCTTATATTCTTTTCGTGCTCCTTCAATCTTTCTCTTGGTGATCTCTTTGTGGCTCCTATATAATATAGCTCCTTCTTTAGCCTTTTATCATGCAACGGTATTCTGTACACATCTGGAACTAGCCTCCTGTCTACGGGTGTTTTGTCATTTCTTAGCATTTGGAATATTGTCGTGTTTCTCTTATATGCTATTTTCTTTTTGCTCTCTATTCCTATTTTTCTGTATATGTTACTTAACGGTGCTCTGTATTCCATTATGGTGAACTCCTTTTTTCCTTTCTTATCTTTAGTCTTATTGCATCCTTTTTCTGCTTCTTGTATTAAGGCTTTTACTTTACTTTGCTTAAGTCCTACATCTCTTGCTAATTTTGCAATGTATTCAAGTTCATTACATGTGTCATATACCTTGCTACAATGAGTGTATGCTCTTTTAATCAGTGCTCTAAACGCTGCTAGTTTGTAGCTTGTTGGGTCATGAGAGGACCATGGTATCAAATCCAGAACGTACGTCGGCTTTCTATACACTTTTGTAACGATTTGCCCTTCTTCATCTATTTCGACCTCTATATCTAAGAAATGTACCCTTTTTTGATCTTGCTGCTCTAGTTCTAATTCCAAGCCATACGTATTGCTGTTTATATCTCTAATAAATTGGCGTATGTCTGGTTTATCGTTCCAAATAATAAATACGTCGTCGACATACCTTGCATACATTATCATCTTATCTTTATATTTCTGCAATATGCTATTTTTCAGAGATCTTATTACCATCTCACACAGCAAGATCCATTAAGATTGTTAATCACCATATTATAATTTAGTCCCAGAAAAAAAATCCTATTAACTTTGCCAGGCCATTTTTATGTCACCTCTATATAATGCACTCACATGCTTCTAAAGTGAAAAAGAGACAGTGATGTCAAAATCACATTACAGCCACAACAACTTACACTGATGATTCATTCTTACTTCTAAGCACATGTTCTCTCAAAGTCATACACTTCATTCAAGGTATATAGAGATAAGGTAGCGCAACTCGCTCTGGCGAGAAAAATGCCACTGCGCATGATGTCACCATCGAGAAACTTGATTCACTACTGCTCTGTAACATGTGCTGTTTATGTCAGAAACACAATCTTAGAGAAACGAATGCACCACAAAACTCAAATAATGATTAATAAACATGTATGATTGTTAATATGGTTCTATTCAAAATCAAATTAATTAATTTAATTACGCCTGTAAACTTATTCTACATAACATGCCGCAATTCACTCATATGACAAAACCAATTAGAGAAAAAGTATTCTACAAGCAATTAAATTGTTACTTTACTTTAGGCAAATAAACATGAAAAAAATAAACCTCAGGCAAATAAATATGAAAAAAATATGAAAAATAAAAAAATAGGCAAATAAACATGAAAGAATAAAAAAATAAATGTTTTTCCATGATATTTCCCAAGTGAAGAAGAAAATTCTGAACTTCTCTGTAAAGACTTTTAGAAATTTTTTTTTTTTTGTTATAAATATGCTTCTTATACAAAACTAAAGTTTAAAAAAAAATAATACTAATGCTTCACAAGTAACAAAATACATTTTTGCTTTTTTATTCAATACAAAATTAATGTAGGTATTACAATAGATCTAGCTGTAGAGCTAGATATTAAATAATGTGTATATTTATACTGGTTTNCAGTTTGAGCAGGAAAATTGAAGGTGGCTAAGAAGAGATAGATATCGTCTGGCCAATGAAAAGTAGATTTGTCTCACTAATGATGATTTGTGATCGCTGGAAGTGCTACTGCGTCGTAAAGTGTTTTCCTGAACGATCTGATATGGGATACATTCATTGGCACTATTGATTCAGACACCATTTGTTGGACTATTAAGTTTAATAACTTGACTCGTGGGTACCTAAATGTTTAGTATTTTAATATTAATTTAATGCAAATGTATGCATACCCAATAATATTAAACAGAAAATCTTTTGTAACTAATATACAATGTTGCGGCTCAGTAAATACGTCGACACTGAAATGAAAATCAGTCTAGCATAGGGAAAATTGGGGAATTACACCTTGAAATGGTGAATTGCGCAGCGGAGTTATTGTGAATCGGCATAAATTGAGCCAGCATAAACTGAGGGCTACTTGTATTGCACTCACTTTTTACTCACTTATTCTGTATTTCAACTCACTTTTCTCACTTTTTCAAAGGGGAAATGGCACTCCCAGGCCTGTATCCAAAACTGCATTCTAAGAATACTCAAAAGCAACTCTTGGCTAGCATGTAGGTAAACTATGTGATAGTATGTTATAATAAGATTTGTGACATGACTCTTAGAGGGAAGCAAGACTGGATATCGTTGTGTTTCAGGAATATTGGCATTCTTTATCCGACCTCCCACGCGGATAACACCTACAGCATCGAAGAAGGGAGTCAACTGAATTATTCCACTGTGAACTCTTAGCTCCTTGCCTAATCTTAAACAAGACATCTCCTCACTAAAATATGATTGTTGTACAGACTTAATTATTGACATAATGGCTGTCTTTAGTTCACTAGTAGTTAGAAAACCATTTAAACATTTTTTTGGAGGGTTACAGCAATTATGCAGGAACGTCAAACATAATGATACGACGCTATATAATCTGGACCATGAAGAAAACCTTTCAAATATTCCATCTTCTTCAACTTCACAGGTAGCTGTCGTGTATGTCTTCTTCTCCCCAAGGTATATCTTCTCATCATCAACAGATTTTTCATTTTCAGACCAAATTTCAGGATTAATCTGTCTTAACCAATCTGGTCCTTGGAACCAAATCTCACAGTCAACTAATTCAGAAGAAGGGAATCCTCTTATTGCACAGTCTGCAGGATTATGACTTCCACCAACGTGTTTCCACTTCATGGTAGGAATTGCGTTCTGAATTTTTTCGACTCTATTGGCAACAAATGGTACCCAACGCATTATAAGACTCAGACGAAATCCATGCTAATACAACGGTGGAATCCGACCATGCAAATATGTTACGTATGGGAACATCAAGATATTTCAATACGGTTTGCAATAAATTAGCCAATAGGACAGCAGCACAAAGTTCCAACCTGGGAAGAGATTGTATCTTGAGAGGAGCAACCTTGGTTTTGGATGTCAGTAAAGTGACCTTTACGTCAGAATTATTTGACATAGTTCTTGTATAGACCACAGCACGGTAAGCCTTCTCTGAGGCATCGCAAATGCATGGATATCAAGGACGTTTAACTTTGGAAGTGAAACAAACCTCGGAATCTTTAAGTTTCCAAGAAGGGTTAACTCATTTCGAAATAACTTCCACTTATGCTCCACTTCAGCAGAGATGGGCTCATCCCATGAAAGTTGACACTTCCACAACTCTTGAATCAGAATCTTTGCATATACAACACATGGAGCAAGCCAGCCCAAGGGATCAAAGATTTTTGCTAAATCCGAAAGGATTTCTCTTTTGGTATAGCCTGCTTGCTCATTTGAATATGGAATAAATTTACCTCTGCATTTCGTTTTTGATTTACAGTTCCTACTGATATGTCCATATTTGCTGCAGTTGTAGCACTTTCCATCAAACCTTTGACCTTTGAATTTTGTATTATTTTCCCTTGAGTTTGTTTGTGGCTGCTTTACACGGTCAGACTTTCCCTTTGAAAACAATGCATCGCTTCTCTCGTTCTCAAGACTTTCTATAATCATCAGTTAACTTTGTAATGTGCTCCCTGTTTTGCTTCCTCCTCTTTTAATTTTGCTTTGAGATTTTCGAGTGACTGTATGCCATCATGTGACTCTGTGGCTATACTAAAATGTTCATATTCATCTTGTAGTGATCCAAGGAGCATAATTGATAGTAATTCTTAAGGGATTTCTATTCATGCTTCATTTAGTTGATTAGCTTTATGTACTGTGTAATCATCAGATTCTGACCTTTTTCCATTCGTAGTAATTGTTTGCACAATGCTGCTTATTTAACAGGGCCTCATAACTGGAATAATGCCTCAAGTCCATCCTACACTTTAGATATTTCAGTGTTTTTCATGTGGTTCAACTGCCCAAGACTAAGGCTTAGATTTATCAGTGTTAACACATTTGCGTCTTGCTTGATCCACTCCTCTGTGCTTATTTCTGATTTTATTTCAGTACTGTCAATGTATTTCCACAGAACACTCCTCATCTGTATTTTCCAAAGTTTGTAATTGTCCACGTTCAACTTCTCAATATTTGAGCCTTCCTCAACATGGGTTCCTGTCCGTGATGAGGGGACCTTCCAGAGACGGTTTAGTAACTCTACTTTACCATCTCTGGAATCTGAATGCCCAGTAACATGTTTGCCGTGCGTGGTGTCCCATATGCCAGAAAGTGGAATTCTGGTAGTTGAGGGGCAACATAATGTTCTCAACACACTGCTTCGTGCCCTTCTTTGGATAAACAGAAGGCTCAAATCAGGCTTTGTTTGAGTCAACTGATCGATGCAGACCAGGTGGACACGTCAGACAAGATGTGTTTTTCTCAACTGCATTGTGAGGGTATAGCTCCTGAGAAACCCTGGTGTGGGGAGTCTATGGGAATCTCCCATGTGAAAGCATCCCCTTGATGGGCCCCATGGTGGATGAGGTCACTGGGAGCTGAACTTTTTTCAACAATATGGATTCCAAAAATCTAAAACAACAACAAAGAACAGACCAACTATTATCGAACAAAGGAAACTTTTTTAGTGAGCCTGCATATTTGATAATACTGTACATGCTTCAGGAAATAAACCACTGTCCAAATGCTTCCCTTTTCTGATTCAAAAGCTACTTGAATCCACCATTGCACACCTGAAAAAAATACAGAAGATGAGGTCTGGGACTTACTTATAGAAATGGCATCACTTCAATAGTTGGCAAAACTTTTGTCAACAAAGACCTTGGGAGATATAGAATTCACTCTCACATCACACCACACGAGTTTAAACTCATCACATGGTATGATATCTGAGACAGATTTGATGTCTGAAGATGAATCACATATCCAGATAAGCCTTTCAGACTAAGGTGTCACTGCCATCCGATGCATTTCCATTTGTTGGGATGGCAAGTTGATACCTACAAAGCATTTTATTTTCACGTTTAACAAGCCAACATTGCCATCTTCTGTTGCAGCAAAATATCTCCTTTGTTGAGTTCGTCCAAACATTCCAAATTTGCTGCATTGCTTTAAATGCCAATTGTTTGGACATTCACAAACATCTTGCCGAGGGAAAAGTGCATGTGCTCAGTGTGGAAAAGAAGAGCACGAGAGTACTGAATGTACAACTACTCCATGCTGTGTAAACTGAAAAGATGCCCATCCTGCCTACTTCTGAAAATGTCCTACATGGTAAAGAGAAATGGAGATTCAGCGGGTGAAGACTGTGAATAATATACCTTACCCGCAGGCATGTCCAGAAGACATTTGCAGCTGTTTTGAAATCCACTAAGGTCAGGAACACACGTGCGTAAAATTTGGCGTAAAATGTAGCATAAAACAAAAAACATAAAAATTTTTCTGAAATTTTGGCTGAAACAGAACTGAAAATAGAGTAGAGCATGTGTCTACTTTTTACGCCAAAATTCCTCCAATAAAGAGAAGTCTTTCCTGTGACGTCAAAGTAGACACGTCACAGGCGGCAATGAGGGTTTATACTACAATTGTGACGGTCTGGAAAAATAGAGGAATTTATTGAATTCGTTCGACCACATCAGTGTCATGTATAAAGACACTGTATTTAAACAATGTTTATGGATGGCTATAGGTGTTAAATTTCAAACAACAGGTAGGTCTAGTGGAATCGATATATAGGCCTAGTATTTAGATCACACGTTCTTTATTTGAATTCGGAATACAAGTCTATTAATTTAAATTTTCTATATTATAGCAGAGGAAGTGGAGAAAAAATGGAAGGTACAAAGCGATAGATAGCCTATATGAGAGGAAAAAATTAATAAAATAAGCACTGTTGGTGGCAGTGGTGTTTCCTATTCGGCCAGAATTTTTATGTATGTGTGTTCTGGCGTAAAACAGAAACTGAACTGAAAGCTGATTTCTGATTCAGTTTTCTGTCACACAATTTTACGCATGTGTGTTCCTAGCCTAAGACGTGCGGGATTCAAACAGATATTTCTGTGTCACCAAATGAATCTCTAACTCGCCATGTAAAATGTTTGCTGATACCATCTAACCAAACATCAGAAAAGGAGAGCAAGAATGTAAAGTACTATATTATTTTTCCGACTTTCCAACGATTATCGACACTACTGTGTGCCGGAAATAGCCGTTCCCTAACGGGTACTTTACGCGGATTCACGTTAGTGTGCCAGGCCTGGACTTTAAGCGTGCACCGAATTAAATAATGACAAAGTTTGTCAATAACAAAATCAAATATTTAATTAAAACTTCTAGTAATACTTATATACAGTATTTAGTAAAAATCAAACAATAATTTATTCAATGAAATTCAACAACAATCAATCCGACAAACTCAAAGCAATCTATTTCTAACTTAATTCTATTCCCCTTTGGAATTCGACAAAATCAAAGAATTAACTTATAAACAATAATTCTTATAAATTAAAGATCCTAATCGTCACCTCAATATACTAGGAACCTATTTCCTCAAACTCTCAAGACTTTCTATAATCGTCGATCCACAAATCGAATAACTTCAAAATCCTATCGGACACCTCTCTCGTTCACTGCTACGAAGCTCACCAAAGCTCGTTGCTATCAGGAATTCACCTCGTTCGTTTTCACTTGAGTTAGAGGCTTTATAGTGTGAGGTGACGTCACAATTCTGAATGAGCTCACTCTCCTCATTTACATACTTATCTGTAACATTAAATTTTTCTTGTTTATCTGGCAGATTATTTTCCGACAATACTTCGCTAACCTTTTACATTATTCTTTTTAACAATTATCGGGATGCTTTATTCTTTTAAGGTTTAGCGATTCCTAACTGGGTTGTGGGGTCTTCCCCCCCTTTTTCTCGGTGCGGACTTACTTTTTTCCGCTTGGGAAGCGCAAGTGTGCGCGAGTTTTCTACGCCGCTTTTCTTTCGTTGGTGAGTTGGTTTTTCTTCTATTTTTAAGTTACTAAGGTGAATGGTGAGGAAACTTCGTCCTAACAAAACATAAGCCCCAAACAAAAATAGAATAATAAGCAAAATAAAAGTAAATAAAAATAACGTTCGGACTTGGTTCCTTACAAGAAGACCAAAACACCCCTACTTAGAACAGGGGTAATAAAAAATGTGGGTTCAAAAAAAGGCAAGTAAGAACCCACTAAACAAACAGAGTGAAAGAATGCTGCCTCAAACACATAATGGATTACAAAGTAATCTAATGGAACTATCATGGTTTCTGCAACAACTTCTCTGACATTAAACATGACATCATTAACCCATTTCTCTGCGTGGCACTCCAGGAAACCCATCTAAAACCTGGAGAAAGAATTTCATTAAAAGGATTTGATATCTACCGCAAGGATGATGATAGCCACAACCATGTTAGTGGAGGTGTGGCTATTCTGGTTTTGAATCACATTGCAGAAGAATAAATAGCACCAAATTCTTCCATCTTTACAGCAGAGCTGCAGGCTATTTATTTAGCCTCAAAGTATATAAATAGGAAAGGTCATTGTTGCTGTGTGTTTTACACTGACTCAGTTAGTGCACTTCAGGCTTTGATCTCTTGCGAACCTAGTTCTCACTCTATAGTGATTAAAATCCGTAAACTGTTTTGCCAACTTACTGCAAGGAATTTGTAAAATTTTGTTGGGTCCCAGGCCATGTAGTTATAAGAGGAAATGAAGAAGCTGACGCAGCTGCAAAGTCAGCAAGTCCTTCTCAGCATACAATGCTTATTGAAGGTGATTTGAAGCTAGTCATTAAAAAATGACTAGCAGAGAGATGACAAAGTATGTGGAATACACTAGTCCACAATAAACTACACGAGATTAAACCTATGATAGAAACTTGGACGTATAATAGACATTATGATAGGAGATCAGAAGTTATCATTACTCGTTTGAGAATTGGACACACTCGACTGACTCATCAATAC